AGCGCTCCATGCTCCTGTCAACACACGACGCGCACCGCTCCGTCAGATACACAGCGAAGACATCGGATGATTCGAAAGGATCAAAGCCTTTGTGCTATTCAAATACCCTGTTTCGTCGCTCTTGTTTTTCCGCTAGATGATGAAAGGAATTGCAGCGAAATGGGCGTGGTCAGGCGGAATAGTAGGCCTGATGATCTGAGCCTTGCCACGTAAAATTAAGCATCATTAAATTGAGTTGATTCTGTATTCAGAGTGTCTGAGAATAAATGTACACATTTCTGGGAATGTAAAGAGTTTGAAGACAATAACGTTTTGCTAATGTTCATGCGGTAGGAAACACTTTCACTCAAGTTTCTCCGGATCGGTTCGCAATTCATCTTGCATTAGTGTTTGGCAGGTACACGAAATGTTTGTGCGCCACATGTACTTATACAAAAATCACCCGCGTGAGTTGGTTTCCTTCTGAACATGGAAGATAAGGTTTTATAAGTGCGCACTTTTTAGAACCTTTACTCTCCTTATCTGCTAACCAATTATGACATACGTTATTACGTATTACGACGAAATTAAAGTATTTTTGAATCTTTTAACAAAAATTAGGACATTTTTGATGAGTATCTGAAGTTCTATTTTACAACCTGTCACAGAAAAACTTTACTTTCTTCTGTGGTTAGTTTGAGATAAAATGAAAAAACTTCCAATTGTCTTGTCTATGTCTTCCAGTTACATTTCTTCGAGGAAAGTGTCTTGTGTTATTTTGACTTGTACATATCTCTACCCCTGTTCACATACTCTCCGATGAATGCGTTCAGAAAGCCACAATTCCTCATTCACATTAGCCATTACAATCTACCATTCCAGAAACAAAACAAGTGAAAAAAATAATTTCATTCCCACTTAACAGTAACATATCAATACTTCCTAAATCTTTCGTTTGATTGGGATAAATACCAAGTTGTTTCATTAGCTGTCTTATTTTTACATTTTCTAGTGTATTCGGGATTAGATTATAGGTCTCGCTGGTGACTACAAATCAATTTCTCTCTCTTTCTTTTATGTTCAGTCGTCAAAGTGTGTGATCATCTCTTTTTATCTTATGAATATTTGATTTTAAGGAAGACAATAAAACTATTATTTTGTATAATAGATGCATCTTTATAACGTTAAAATACTTTTTTTTCAGTTACATTTCTTTCTTAGAAATTGATCCCAATGGTAACCGTGCTGTTCGTTGATTGTTTGCCGCTCGTGACGACACGACATCGAGTGGGTGCAGGTCGAGCAGGAAAATGGAGGTTAATACTTCTCTTAATCAGAGAGGCTTCAGCAGAAAAAAGGTGGGATACATTATTCTGCTTGCAGTGTTAGACAGTGAAGAGAAACGGCAATGCCAATATCTTACATAGTTTAAATTTTGTTTGTCCATGGGTCAAAATTTTGATATGTATTACGTAAATTACGATCTGATTAATAGCAGATTTTCATGGTTTAGGTTTTTATTCCAAACGCGTATTTTGATTGAAATATTACGAATCAGTAAATAAAAAAACACTTTAAAAAATATACATTTGTAGTTGGTTTTGAGATAACTTTTTGGAAGAATTTATGAAAGTGCAATTTTTTATATTTCCCGCGAAAATGGCTATGATTAAGAGACTCATAAAATATCATTTATTGTCACTAACCTATCAACCTTTTGCGGATGCAATTATGTCGGATATATGTTTATCACAGTAAACGTTTGTTATGTGACCTTACTACCGTGTAATTTAGTGTATTTTAGTAATTGGAAGTTGTTCAAAGAAATGCCATCCGACTGGGAATCTTCTGGTTTACGCCCAGATCATTTAACTTACTTAGAGTCTTTATAAAATGTTTGGGAGATAAGTGCGTTTTTCTCATAGACGCAATACATCGAAAGTTGTGTTATGATAGAAAACTTTAAATTCTCGAGATTTTGACGGAAATGCGTTTTGTGGGTCACTGATAACAAAACTTTTTTTCCAAAACTATCGGTACATCTGACTATCGGTACATTTGACAGTCTGTCCGTGTGTGAATAA